GGCGGAGCGGTGGGTGGGAGTGGGGGGGGGGGGTGAATTGAAGTTTCTGTTTACGTTTGTTTAACCATTATACCGTGCCATGTTCTCAATAGATACAGATACAGATAAAGATTAAATTTATTGTCAAATGTACATGTAAACATAGGCCTACAATGAAATAGTATCGGCTCGATCAACATCAGAAAAAGTAGCCTAACACATGTGTTCAACATAAAATTAGGCCATCGGTGTTTATTTAACTTCATAGCGTAATCAACAAATTTGGCTCTAAATATATTGCGATTAACTTTATGGGTCCCATCCTACATCTCCGTGCAAAGCTTTTGGTGTGTTTCTGCTAGCTTTTAAAATAAACCTCGCCATTTGCAATTGAAGTGACTCAGTCTTTTCGAAATCTTTCCTGCTTTGGGTGACATATACCGAACAAGCATAAACTGTAAATTAGTGGTAAAGATACCGTCAATGGTCGTATATTTATATAGCGCCTTGCACAGAAAACCGTCTCAAGGCGCTTTTGAAGCCACAAGAAATAAAGACAAAAGAACGCGAAGGGTGGTGGGGAATGTGCACCCTCGATTTTGAGATAGCGTCGCCATCACTACCGTGTACACGCAGGTACCTCGGCGTCCGATTTGCTGGGCTCCGGTAGCTTCCACCAAGGATAAGCCTATGGCTCCCCTACCGTGCACTGCTAAGTTGGCGGCGCTACCTCAAGTAAGGAGGTGCGACTTTCATAGTCTCCGTAGTTCTATTAACGTTATTAAATTGATCAATAATTGATTTAATGTATGGAATAATGTAATCCTATTATTGCCCTTGTTAATAATTTGTTTTAAATAAAAATGATCTGAAATGCTTCTTGACATGTGAGTACCAAGGTATATGATTCAACTTCAGGTATAAATTGTTTGCTCTGTTTCCACTTTTTATTATCATGTTCATTTTCATCATTAATTAGTTCTGCCCCCAAACAGACTAGACCTACCCATTCAAACATTGTGAATAGGATCACCTAAATTTTGTGCATAAGAATACAAAATAAATTCGAGGATTTTGAAAGGATTACGTTCCAATGAAATCAACGAGAATCGGACCTCCTGCAGTTCTATAGCCTATATAACTATATAAACGTAATCTATTGTTATAGTAAGAATTCCGTCGATATTTGTTCTCTGTGTCATCTACTGTTGCAGTCTATAATCTTAAGTCAAAAAAGTATCTTCAAAATAAATGCTTTGTTTCCAATCGATTAGGCATTGCAACATCACCATTTGAAAGACATAAGATATAAATAATTAAACTGTGTGTGAATTACATAGTCATTCTATGAATAAGACTTAAGCGAACCCCTGCGTCATGCTATGTAAAAAGACGGTGTGACAATTGCTAATAAATATACTTTATATAGGCCTACATGAGCTTAAGGCCTAATTATCATAATGAGTGTTCACATACACAATACAGCACAATTTAACTGTACACGTAAGTGTAAGTCAATAGAGCACTAAGATACTGATTCTTTTCCAGGAATATAAGCAAGGATTTATATGTGTACACAATACGTCCTTGATATTTTACTTGTAGTTGCAGCAGAGGGAGGTAGTTGCAGACGGAGACAATGAGTAACAACAAAGAGTAAACAGTGGGTGTGTGAGAAAGGCAAAAAATAATGAGAAGATTCGTAGTCATCGACTGCTGAGATTGCAGATTTCTCCTACTTCTCCTTCTTTACACAGCACACACACAGTTTATAAGAACACCAAGGCTGAAATAAGAATAAATTGACGTTGAGGTATTATGGCAAATAAGGTTTTTGTTTTAAAAAACCAGAAAAACAAACAAATCCAGCTAGTCTCATACAGAACAGTATTAATGTTTAAAAAGGCTATACTGTAAAATTCTTTTGGTCTTATCTGTACCTTATGTAGGGGTGACTATGTAACACAGTACAGTAATACTGCTGTACAATATTCTTTGTCTTTGGAAAGTGTGTAAAATAAGAACAAAATAAGAACATTTTGAGCCTGAAATTTGCGAAAACTAAGAACACTGAGCCTAGGCAAAAATTTTACTGGTTCTTATTTTTAAAGTGTAACAGCAGTTTGGTGGTTATGCTACATAACCTAGCATCAGGGATGATGCCGGCAAAACACACTAAAATCGCCTCTATTCTCTGGCCATACGAACGTGATACACCTTACACAGCACTGGTATGAGACAGATATCAGTATTCGACAGTCAATGAACAGTTCCTATGCATTTATTGCAAATTGTAGCAAATTAAATAACATTGATTTTGTACAATTTCTATCGGAAAATAGAATAGATTATAGGGATTGCGCACTTAATTAAAAAAAATCACTGCTGCTATATGAGAATCAATGTAAAATATATTAAATAAAGGATTTAACAGTATAAACAAGAGAATATTATTACTCCTACATGACAAACAGTAACTATGAACTGCAAATGGTGCTGAAGCCTTACTACCAGCAGTTTAACCATATCTGTTAAATGAAATGGCAAGATGTCTTTTACTTAAGACTCATTTACTTGTATCAATATATTTATGTAATCACAATAGTGTGTGCTACTTGCATCCTAATTTAGTATAAACAGGGAACAGATTAACTGTTCTCTGGTATAAATAAAACAAAACCATTACATTACAACAAACATAAAGAGTTTTCACATAAAGCCTGGTTTCCTTAAAATCACTTTCGGTGATGCTGATTGGTCGATTCGACCGACCAATCAGCATCACCGAAAGCTGTCGGCGATAGCGTGTAGTGATTGTATGGAAACTAAGGTTAATGAAAAGAAAAATATCATAAAACATTAAATGTAATTAAAAAATAATGTTCATGGTAACAAGAAAACTCGGAGTTTGAAAGATTGCACCAGTTTAAGCCATTACAATCTGGTTCAAACTATTTTAGAAAAAAAAAATCATTTAAATTATACTGAAGCGAATATTATTTAATTGAAACAATATTTAGTTTTAAAAAAATTAACCTAGTAATTAATCTAACAGCATTACAATTGAGGGTGTACCCAAATAAGGTATCAACATTGGAAATTCAACTTTCAAAATTATAAATAATAAAGGTATACAGCCTGAGTAGCGATAGAATAGTGTAAAGAAAAACCCTCAAAACACTGAATTACTTAATTGAATTGAATTGATCTAATAAATTATCAATATCCATTTAGGATTCACTGCCACTGGAATTCTTCCCTTGGACCTAATCAGACATACCTGGAACCCCAGGCTTTTAAAAGTAATGCCCTCAATTCCCCCTAATAAGAATTTCCCAACTTTTAAAATTATTTTTTATTTCAGTATCTGATTCAATCAATAAATAAAAAATAACACCAATATCACAACTGAGCAAAGGAAAACCAAATAGAACTTCAATAAAACACATATTCATAAAAAATAAAAAAATAAAAAAAATACTCTTTATGTTTGAAGCCTATTACGAATCCTACAAAATATAATGCAAGATTCGAGCCACATTTTTAACATCTCAAAATCAAATCATATATTACAAACAAGCCTAGAATTTCTGGTGGTATGCATTCATGTTAATATAATATTGTAACATTAATGATTATTTAACTATTTGTCTAAACATTCGTTCATGTCAACATAACAACGTAACATTACAAAGTATTTTGCCATCTGATTAAGAATTCAAACACCCACAGAACACTATATCACATAACTATCCATATTTAAACACATAACACAACTTATAAACACAAAAAGGCATGCTGTCAATAATGAAAAATAGCTACATTCATTATACATATTTATTTTGAAAATATTTTAAAAAATAACTGAATGCAAGCAATTTGAAGAACATACAATTTAAACACATTGATTCTAGAAAACTATACAAATTCTGTTTTATATTCTTGTTTTTGTTCATTAAGCATTTGTATAAAGCTGTATTTACTATCTAATATTCAAGGTATTTCAAGAATACATAAGTATTTAAAGCAAATAAATCAGTTACTCTATTTTGTCCAGTATAAGTTATAAATATTGTGGTCACTTTATATCTTTGAATATGAATTGTTTTAAGTGGCTTACTCACCTGTATTTTAAGGATTTTTTAGTTGGCTAAACCTTAAAGGGCGAATTCTGCAAATGAGCTATAAAAGCCACTTTATGTGAGTAAGGAAAACAGAATTGTGTATTGAATAATATAATTATACAATTTTCCTATAAATATAAGAAACAATTCATGTTACTTTTTTTCAAAGAATATTAACAGTTATTGAGGTACTTATTTAAAAAATTAAAACTAAGAACTTCATTTCAAGGTAGATAGTAGAGTAAATACATAATACTTGATGCTAAAATCATCAGTTTTAAATTTTACTGTTATCATAAATTCAACTTTGAATTGTGAAAAAAATCAATTAGAGAAAAATAGAAATGTTTTCTAAAAATACAATAACTTTATCTGAGCATTTATTATTGAAATTAGGACATTATTACTAATATATTATCATTATTATTAAACTTGGAGGGATTCCATTATCGAATTTAATTAAATATAATGTATTATAATAAAGAAAGACATTGTAAACAATTATAACAGTTATAAGATGTGTCAAGGTTTATGTGCTAGTTCAAAGTTCGCAGGGATAGTTCAAAGTTCAAAAGTGTTCAATTTGTAGAGGAAGACAAATAAGAGCAGGATAAGACAGTAACAAGTTAGAGGCACTTTGTAGTTTTTCAATGATGAGATGTAAAAATGGTTTTCCTCTGCAATCAACCGTCAAAGCTCCTCAAAGAAGGTGACACGGTCTTGGGTTGTTCCCGATTTTGTCTAAAACAAAGCATAGAAAAATATTACTATTGGATAATTTGGAAGCATTAAATTTGGTTTGCTTGTAATTAATAAAAATTTGCACACTTTTTAAAAACTTTACCTATTTGCGGGGTTTAAGTGGAGTCATGACTTATGTTAACTCCTATAAAATATTAAATTACTGTAATAATAATAACAATGTAATGTCATACTTTTTGTAATGTTGCATATTTGTTTTCTCCCTGCTGGACCAAGTGGTTGTGAATGATGTCCCAATTGGTTTGTTTTTCGTCCACTTTCAGTTCTTCTATTTCTGTTTTCAGTTCATTCAACTGTAACTGTAGGTGTTTGCTCTTCTCCTGGTACTCAATGCTACATTATGAACAAATTTAACATTATTAATTTAAAATACAGTTTCCAAAAATGTACAGTACATCAAACCATGGAGGTATAAATCAAACGAATAATAAATTGTATAGTAATGGAGGGTTCTATTATTTCAAGGGGTGTTTGTTTAGTAAACATTGGGATCAGTAGGTTTGTTTATTCTACATTCAAAAATAAGGCAGTAAAATTGTAAAATTAATAGTCAAACATGGAATTTGTATAGTGCTTAAATATAAATATACTGTTAGTTCATATTGTTTTGTAAAATTATAATACCCTAGCGGTGTAAACATAGTGCTTCCCACATAGTATAAAAACATTCATTGATTAAATTATAAATTTCTTATAATCAAATTTCATTCCATTTCTTTTAATGCTTTGACTGATTTATACTTTCAACTTAAAAGAAAATTTAAGGAAGCATAGAATTCCAAGTATATTTTGACATGAAATACATTAATAATCCTTACCGTTCTTTTTCAATTTCCTTTGAAAGTTTTTCAACCTCACTGTCATTGTCGTTTATCATTACTCCATTTATAGTACTTGAATCAAATGGTGGCAAACCTTGAATCTGAGGGAAAACAAAGAATACATTGTTGCTTACAATTACTTTCACCATACCGTCAATGCTCGAATAAGTGCTGCACCAAACGTGCGTTTTTTCGTTAAGCGCAGCGGCGCTTAATCGAGAGCATATATTATTACCCTGTGTGTAATGAAACAGGATTTTAAATACAATGTATACAGTGTTAAAATTAATAAATAACACAATGAAGACACGAGCATTTTTTTTAAACGACGGGAATACATGAAATAGGTAACATGGGAACAGGCATGGAAAGTGCCACGCCAATATTTTTTATAAGCGGTGCTCCCAAATAAGCACTGTACTAAAGCCGCAAAAAATGTTGAAAGCGCCGCCATGCTTATTCGAGCATTTACAGTATTTATAAAAAATCCTGTACTGTCACAGAATTTGAACCCAGGACCTTGGTAATGGAAGGAAAGTATCTTAACTAAATCTCCATTTACAATATACTGTAATTATTATGTTTTATAATTAGTAAGGTGTAGTATAAATTTCTGTAATATTATTACTATTATGATTATCAACATTATCACTGTATATTATCATTATTACTAATATTATTATTAATTATCTTGATTTTTACAATCATTTTTCTTTAACATGACATCATGCATATTTCAATCACCATTATTACTACATTACCATCTATTACTTCACATCCATTTGGATAAAGATTAACAACAACCAACCAACTTACAGATATCTCGATAAGTTTTTCTTTGGCAATCATTTCATTTTGTCTCGCTTGGATGAGCTGCTGCTTCAAATCTTCTGCCTCAATCATCCTGATAAAAATAACATAAAATTAAATAATATCTGGAAATGTTGAAAACAAATATTCCTTGTTTTATAAGAATCAACACATGAAGGAAAAAAAGCATGTAAAAAACACCACTCATTACAATGCAACGAATCATATTGAACAGCTACACAATGATGACATACAAATATCTTATAAGCATATTTATTTCCTTATTATTTATGTTATATAATATAATTTATCATGTTACCTCATCTCTGATTCTTCTACTATCCTATGAGCTATCTCACTGGCCTCTTGCAGTTTCTGTTCCATCAGTCGCTTCTCTTCCTCACTCTGTCAAATACATTCAGAAAATCAAATCCAGCTAACATTTAAATATTGCTTTGCCATTGAACAAGAATTAATGCTAATAATGTAAAGATTTTGTTTATGGGGAAAACAGCAGTTGCTCCGAAAGGTAGTCCTAACTAAGGGGCTGCCTAAGGCCTTGGTCAGGACCCCAGAGTAAACCCCTGGTTGGGGGGGGGGCAAGGGTGAGAGATTTAATTGTTTAGGATGGTTAGAATTGTACTTTTAGACAATAATAGAGACTGCACCAATCACTCATAAGTTGTTTGAATTGGCAAATTACCATTTTCACTTCAGCCGCAATGCCCATGCTTGTCTGATGAAAGATTCTACTGACACTGGTAATGCCACTAAGGAGGAGGGGTGGGGAAGACAAGTCCTGTTTTTTTTAATCTATCATAACTGGTAATTTTAGATACTTTAAAAAATGTTACCTGGATAACCTGCACATTTATTCTTTGAATCTCTTGTTCAGCTTGCGATGCCTTCTGGGATAGAAGTCTAGCCTCCTCTTCAGCCACTCTAGCCTTTTCACTTAGTAAGTCTGCTGCTTCTTCTGATCGAAGCTAAACAGATTGTATGAAAGTATTTGTTATGGTTATTATTGTCAATATTATTATTAATATTGCTATTGTTATTATTATCAATATTGTTATTGTTATTATTATTATTATTATTATTATTATTATTATTATTATTATTATTATGTTACTAAAACTATCTTAAGGGGAACTTAGACAATGGAAAAATTAGAGAACAATTAATATTTCGGCACTCTATATACATCTTTGCATACAGGGTAAAAATGGCTGACATAAAATAATAATAATAACGATTTGTAAAGCGCAAACATCACCAAAAATAGTGTTCAAGGCACAATGTCTAAAAAGGAACAGCAGCAGGAAAGAAACAAGAATTACAGACATCAAAAGGAAAATGCAGTCAAAATGTAAATAAATATTTTTTTAGATATTCATTTAAGAGTTTAAAGTGAATTTACAATTAATTCTGTGTGCATTTTTGTCATTATTGAAAATTAAGTCAGGTTTATTGCAACTATAATTCAATTCGGCCCACACAAACATTATTACTTTATTTTACTTCCCTTCTCATTTTTACCATAATCATACTATCTTTTTTTTTGTACAGCTATCTTATTATTTAATTTCTTTCTTTCAGATATTTCCTTGTCTTTTCTTTCTCTTACATTTCATTTGTGTGTGTGGGGCAAGGTGATGAGTTAAAAGGTGGTACTCACCAAAGCTTCTTTGGCATTCACTGCATCTTCCTGGAAGGCTTGTAACTGTTGTTGAAGTTCCTCTTTCTCTTTTTCTGCCACTTCACGAAGTTGTCTTTCCCTTGCTAATTTATTTCTCTCAATCTATAATTAATTTAATAAATAAAATATCCAAGTTTTAATATATTTTCAATAAAAACAATTAAAAATATCACTAATACAAAATAAAATACCTGTTTATTTATTATACGCACCTTGTATTCCTTGGAATTATGTGTACTATAAAATCATGTGTTGATGTTGTAGCTGTTGTTGTTTTTAATATAATTATTGTTGCATTAAGATTTAGTATAATCCTAGGTGTTGTGACATTGATGTACACACCTGTCTTTTGGCTTTTTCTTCCTTTGCTTGTGTTTTCATCTGCTGTACTTCCATTGAATCTGTCTTTCTCCGTAGCATAAACAGTTCATGATTTCCAACACATAAATCTAAAATCTGAAATTTAAAAAAAGTAGTATAATAGTAAAACATATACTCAGTAACCGAAAGGTCCACTGATTTATCTCAGATAAGATAGTATAATACATACTCCAAGTATTGAAATGCATGCTATCGTGTCAGGACTCAAAAATATACTCAGTATATGACAAAAAAACTCCAAGAATTTTCATGTTATGTCTTCGAAATCTGTTTTCACACCTTGTACTGGGTTTGGTCTTTGATGATTGTTATTAAATAATAAAGAAAGTTGAATTGGAGATTATCACCTGGTCTGCAGACCACTTCAGAACCAGAAACTACAGAAATGATAACTGTTTGAACTCACTATAGCCTTAAGTTATAGATGAGAATCTTTGTCAACAATGATAGAACAAATACCGAGAGATTCAGTGTTAGTCAACATATTCTCACGTCCAATTTGTGTTAAATACTTATACTTACTAACTTATTTCTTCTACTTTTCGGTGAGATGAATATGAAATCTGATGACTTCTTATCAATTGGTTTGATAGTAAACTAAGAAAAAAAGTAATTAAAATAATTTTTAATGATTTGATTTGAGTTTATTCAGAAAAAAAACATACAATTACATCAAAATTGAAAGACAAATGTGTATCAAAAAATAATAATGTATAAAATAATGTTATTTTCAAGGACAACACAATCAAGCCCAGAGGCTTATTTCCATTTGAGTCTTATATATAATACTTGCAGATTCTTATATTACATAATATAAACTATTTTAATGAACATGAAATATTGAATAATGTTGTAGTATTATTTAATTATCAGGCATTAATAGATGTTTTACCTTCTTGTCTCTATAAGAGATATCTCCAATCTCACTCCAGGGGAATGAGATCTTTGGTCGGAACTTGTTCTCAAGCTCATAGACATGAAGTCCAAATGCATCAACTCCAAGCTGTAAGGGGGTTCCCTTCCTATCATTCTAAACCAAAGCAATCCTTAATGTTTAGTAATATATTCAATCAATGTATATAAACATAATAATAAATAATATAACATCAGGATGGTAATATTTTCTATCAATTTATATAAAGATAACAATATAAATAATATATTATTGGGATTTTTTTTTACTTGTTGGCAGTTATGTGAAATGATTTTTGTTATCTTTGTATAAAATCCAACTATTAATTTAATCGATACATATCATATTTATTCAAATAAATGCCCCAGGGCATCTATTGTTAAGAAGGGTTTTCAGAGGGAGTTTAAATGTTTAGTAAAATTTTCTATCAATTTATATAGAGATATTATGTGATAATAAAAAGATTATTGTTCCCAACCATGTTAGAAAAAGAAGTAGATCATTAATAGAATGTGTTGAGAATGATGTTGGTTCTATTAGATTTGTTTGCAGTCATGTAGTGTGGCATTTATTTTATCACATGAAAGTAACTTTGGTATGGAGACACACCTCCACTGGTGTTAATTTAAGATGATAATAAATATTTAAGAAAATTATATATCACTATCAGGATTTGAACCAGATGTGTATAAGAGACAGGCCCTACATCTAAAATGAACTCACACTACAAGGTCAGCATTCAACACTGTTTGGAAATGAGTGATAAAAAAAAGACAAAGGTAGGACGCTAATGACTATAGCAGATTGTCTTATAAGTGTGCTAGCTTGTATTGTCTCCTGCTTGTATGGACAGGAAGTGGTTGTGTTAAGTTGATAATATTCAACAACATCCTAACAGGAAATACTTCATTGTTATATATTGCTCTTGTGTAGAATTATCATGGCCAGTTAAATACTGAAATATACACATGTTTTATATATTTCTTCTAAATTTGACCCCCCCTCCCTTTTTTATAATTGAATTATTTTTGTATCATCATTGTTTTATGTACAAGGCAAAATAAATAATAATGTATACGATATATGAAGTGAAGTTTTTGCCAGGATTAAATCTACAATGACACTGACAAAACTATCATTAAATATTGAAAATTTATTAAATTGGCTTAATCTTTACATATTTTGTGTTAATTAATCTAATTACTCTTATCTAGAAAGTCTCCATTCAATGGGAATAGCCTAAACAACAATTAAGCTTCCATAAAAGACATTATGGTATGCACGCTTACAACAAATATAGTGTAGATAAAATTAAGCAATTTATGAATAACTCAAGAAATTTCACAAAAGTTAAAAGCTTCCACTGTGGAATATTAAGGATTATAACTTACACTGATTTCAAAGTAATTAACCCCATACATGTCAAGGTCTTGAGCGAATTTCAAATACTCCATTTCAGCTTCATCCCTGAATAAAAGAATGAAATGGGTAGAGTGTAACGATTGGTAACTTATCTTCTGTACAGTAATGGGGATATTGCATAATGTTAAATGCACTTGGAGAATTCTGCATTTATTATATCGTAGTCGATGTAGAAAGAATATGATATTTATGATAACACTGATGATGATGATGATGATGATGATTATGAAAATGTTTGACGAAGATGTTTATGATGTAATGTATAAACACAGATGATAATGAAGATAATTCATAAGAAAATGGTAATAAAGATGATGATAATAGGGACGATAAAGATTACAATGATGATGATCAAGATAATTTATGATAAAATGAAGATGATGATAATGATAATGAAGAGGATTACCGACGACAAAAAGATGATTATGGTCAAGATGGCGGTAATTATGACCAAAAAAATGATGATAAACAGAGTAGAACTCCAATACTCACCTGGTCATGCCTTCATTCTGAGCATACCATGATGTTATCTTGTCCTCCCACATGGGCTGTGTCATGTCATACTGTTCCATGACACCCTGAGGTAACAGCTCATCTTCAGCAAGAAACCCAAATTGGTGATAATTGGGGTCATAATCACCGTACTGGAAAAAAATTAAACAATCTTTGTTTTCATTGTTTCGTTCTTTCTTAATGATGTAATAAAACCATCTTTCATCACTATGCTACGTCAATGACCAAGCCTTCCTTTTTATTTATTGGTTATTAGTGCCAAGCTTTTTTAATTTATTACTTCATCTAGAGATGGACCAAGACACTGAATTAACACAACTTATGTAGTGAGCCATTCTCAATGAACTCTCAAGGTGGCTACACATTGTGTGGTTAAAAACTTAAAGTTACTACTGAAGTGTAGAACTTTTTAGTCTAGTTAGGTGCACTAGGTTCAATCTATGATATAATAATAATAACAATAATAACAATAATAATAATAATAATAATAGATTATTGAATCTGTACAGACACCATTTACAATAGCAGCAAGAGGTATGTCAATCATGACAAATAACTTAAATGAAAACTAACAATTTAACTAAATACATTATGAAGCACCTAATGTGTTCATATAAAGTAGTCAGAATTAGTGTAGTTAATGTATTTAGTTACTGTAGGTGCACAAGTTTCTTATAAAGATGTCAATATGGTAATTTCATAGATGATTTTCAGTTCAATAATCTATGAAATTATTTGTTACCATATAGTTAACGATAATTTTGTTAACATTAATAAAGTTTACAGTTAGTTACCTTAGCTTGTATAGCATATGCAGCAAGAAGCACAGCGGCTTCTGGTGAACAATAGATCTCGGCAGTAAGAATCTTTTGTTTTACTTGAAGGAAGAACAAGTGTTGAGTTATCTCCTGTATCAATTCCTCAGATACTTCCTCTGGATAGAACTTTGCAAGAAATGAGAATGGCATCGGATTGTTCTTGGGCACGCTCTGCTCTGTAACCTATGGAAGAAGTATCAAGTGGAATAAAGCAGTTAGTTCTCGTTACATTTATTCACTGATTCATAAGTTTCATAAATCTGATTTCATATTCAATTTATAAAACACTGTAAAAAATGTATTGTCACCTAAAAATGAAAAAAAAAATCATAGAAACACTTTTATTCACTGAAAATGTTTTATTATTTTTATTATTATCATTATTCAGTAAAAGATCGACAAGGTACAAATTTTTTTTAATTCAATAATTTGTATGCCTAGGTTAATAACTTGTATGTGACTGCAATGAGCAAGTTAATTCCAAAATTATAAAATTTTTTTTTGTTGGTATTTTGCATGGGACAATATATCTTTATTTATCAATTTCTACCAACAGTGAAGAATCGCCACTTACTGGTAAGAAAAAACGTAAAAAACAGTAAATAAATATAAATCTATACAAATATACTAAAACACTTGAAAGAACATACATCATACAGGTACTTGCAATTTTTAAGTTGGTTATTAGTATACACATTTTACCAACAATTTTTTACCTTTTTATCCATCTTAAGCCAAGCCTGGTAGCCCTTTTTATCTTCATATTGCAAACCAAAGTACCAAGTCTCCCTCAGACCTTGTGTGCGGCAAACAAGATCAAAGAGCTGTCGACCAGTTGCTGTACACTACATCAAAAGTTTTAAACGATATACAGTATTAATATAAACTGAAATGGATGAAGGATTTGTAGGCTTGCTACAAAAAAAAAATCAATCTTTTGTATCATTACTAATTGGGAAACCAATGTTTGTTTTAAACATATAATAATAATACATAAGGCCATGTAAAATAAAATAATTGGTTAGCATCCCCTCCCTACCATCAAAAAGGCCACCGACCCAATTTTTTTTTTTTTTTACAATACACTCACAAACTCAATTTAATATAGGTTTGTTTACCACCCGTTCGCACACTAGCCAGTCCACTTGCAGTTCTATGCTCTACTGTTGTTCTATAGGCCCATACTGTAGCCACATGGTATCCAAATGCCTGTTGTGTTGAGGAGTGAATTGTGCATGACAATTCATAGAGATAATTGCATTATGACGCCGTTATTCATAGGTAAAGTTTCTGCTTGCTATAGATGCTTGTATGTAATTTTGGTCTCTGTTGTTTTTCTTCTATTTTTGCTGTTTTTCCTTGCGAAACTCTTTTTTCATGTTCGATGTGATACATAGAGATAATTGCATTATGACGCCGTTATTCATAGGTAAAGTTTCTGCTTGCTATAGATGCTTGTATGTAATTTTGGTCTCTGTTGTTTTATTCTTCTTTTTTTGCTGTTTTACCTTGCGAAACTCTTTTTTCATGTTCGATGAAAACAAAACAAAAAAAAAAAAAAAAAAAAAACCCCTCCCTACCATGAAAATTGATAACATAAGGAAGGATGCCAACCAATTTTTTTATTTTACATGGCCTAACTCGCATAATTATTTTAGGCTAGATAAAATATGTTGCTTCCTTAGATGTTTTCCATTCCTTGAATTCGACTTAGTAGCCAGTCTGAACAAAGAGGCAATAGTCACTTAGGCTAGGCCAACTACTACCAGGCTTAGAAAGTCGAGAGACGGTGGGTGGGCTGCTGTCTGTAGCTTGGCCAGCAGGGTGGGCAACGCTAGGCCTATTTTTATAATCATAACAAAAATCCATGAACTTGAATGCTTTTACTTACATTTATACAAAACTCCAGTTCAGCATCCATTGTCATAACTCTAACCTGCAGAGTTTTGGGCTTACTTTTGAACAGCGACATTTTGCAGTTACTTCTACATTTGTCCGTTTACAGAATAACTACCAACTGAATCATCAAAACATTTCTATATCCCCAAATTTTCTTTGCATGTTGTCATCATCAATCTTTAGGCTGAAAGTTCAGAGTTCACGCACATAATTGCATTATGACGCTGTTATTTATAGGTAAAGTTTCTGCTTGCTATAGATGCTTGTATGTAATTTTGGTCTCTGTTGTTTTATTCTTCTTTTTTTTGCTGTTTTACCTTGGAAAACTCTTTTTTCATGTTCGATGAAAACAAACAAAAAAAAAAACAAAAAAAAAAAAACCTCCCTCCCTACCATGAAAATTGATAACATAAGGAAGGATGCCAACCAATTTTTTTATTTTACATGGCCTAACTCGCATAATTATTTTAGGCTAGTTAAAATATGTTGCTTCCTTAGATGTTTTCCATTCCTTGAATTCGACTTAGTAGCCAGTCTGAACAAAGAGGCAATAGTCACTTAGGCTAGGCCAACTACTACCAGGCTTAGAAAGTCGAGAGACGGTGGGTGGGCTGCTGTCTGTAGCTTGGCCAGCAGGGTGGGCAACGCTAGGCCTATTTTTATAATCATAACAAAAATCCATGAACTTGAATGCTTTTACTTACATTTATACAAAACTCCAGTTCAGCATCCATTGTCATAACTCTAACCTGCAGAGTTTTGGGCTTACTTTTGAACAGCGACATTTTGCAGTTACTTCTACATTTGTCCGTTTACAGAATAACTACCAACTGAATCATCAAAACATTTCTATATCCCCAAATTTTCTTTGCATGTTGTCATCATCAATCTTTAGGCTGAAAGTTCAGAGTTCACGCACAGGGTTTTGTTAGTTGTGGAGGCGCTTGTTGTGACGTCATAAGGTTTTGTGTTCTTCTATATGACTAATAAATTAGTAGTTGTTATAATACCTCTATGAGTTTTCTAGCAGAATTATTTTAATCTTACACGTGTTTCCGCATCAAAAAGCAGTTCAATTCAATTCAATTTTAGTTACGGTACTAAAATACATATAAAGAACCAAGAAAGTATTAGTAGCTACAGGGAGTAGCAGTAGCGGATCTAGGATTTAGCAATTTGAGGTAGATTCGGAGGTGAGAAGGCACAAACGGGGGTGGGGAATTCCCTCACATTTGAGTTTTTTTAATTAGTAGACTGCTAGACGATCTTAGGTGACATCTGAAAAGAAGTAAGCTTAAAATAGAAAGTTTAGGCCTATTTACTAGACTACACGAGAAGCACACAAACAACACATTTTATAAGAACACTGAAGCTGAAATTGTTTAAAAAATAAGAACAAGATAAGAAAAAATTGAGGCTGAGGTAAAATGTCAAATGAGGTTTTTGAAAAACAAAACAAAAAAACAAAAAAAAATTATATCTGTACCCTATGTGCAGTAATGTAGGTGTGACTATGTAATACCCCCTATAATCAGGTGTACTGTCATTTGGGGCCATTTTTACCAGGCCTTTTTCTGGGGCAATTTTTCCAGGACATTTTTTCAGGGCCCATTTTTGCTGTACAAAAATAATTTTCTATGTTTGAAAAGTGTGTAAAATAAGAACAAATTAAGAACATTTTGAGCCTGAAATTGGCCAAAAAAATAAGAACACTGAGCCTGGGCAAAATTTAACTGGTTCTTATAAAAAAAAAGTGTATTTTATTTTTCACGGTAAACGAAGGTGGCTAGCCACCCTATTCACCCCCTCTAGATCCGCCACTGTATAGAGTCAGCGTATACAAATGAAAAAAATGAGTAGGTACTATAGCACTTTTTTTGGCTAACGATTCACTAACATGGAAGCCTTATTGACTGGGGCGAAAGCTTGTGAAATAAAATTCATCGTAGTCAAAAAAGTGCTACCTACTCATGTTTTTATATAATTATAAAAAAAGAAATAAAAAAATAAAGTATAGAACAAGAAAATAAACTTTTTAAAATTACAATATAATTTTCCTATTAAAGGCATTCCATTCCTTTTATACAAATAGGCCTATATATGGTACATTTTTTTTCCAAACGAACTTTTTCTAAAGTTGGAACAATTTGAGACAATGGATGGACCTTTCCGCTAAACCCCACCCCTTGGTGGATTGTTGAGTAACAACACGTGCGTTTGTTATGTGCGTTTCTTAGCGCGCGCGATCCCTATTGGTCAGTGTAAAGTTTAATTGACACTCCCGATAGGTCTATTAAATACTGTACTGTAAAATACAAGGATCAAATGTATAATCCTTGATACAGGTGACTACACTAATATTCAACTACCAATTGATGTATTTTTTCAGAATATTGTATGTATAAACATTTAATCAAATCAATGGCTCCCTTGCAGTGTTTTTGGAGTGCGTGTGATACCGTATATTACGTTAATAGGCTATAATCAGTGGCATTGGAAAAACGATGTAAAACCTTCTACTTTACAATTGACCCCCACCACTTTAATTAATAATAATCATAATAATGATATGGCATTCGTATCCAAAGGGTGGGGACTTACGATAGTCTCTTCTTTTCCCTAAATTGTCTCCAAAAAAGGACATATGCATTTTTGGAGCTGGGAGATATACACGAAATATACCGTACACTTTTGTATCAGTGGCACCAGGAGCTCCCTGGTGGCACTCGCGGAGTTGCCGTGCATTCAAAAGAGAATTTACATAAGAATATACATTAATGTATTTATGTATTTATAATTGCATTAAAAAACCAAATACTATAATTATACATAAATAAAAATATTCAAGCTGATAGCGCTAGAGTAGCTTATTATTATTAATATTATGTAAATTATCCCTATTCAATAAATCGGGTCAACTATGTTATGAATATTTACGACAACCGCTAGGGATGCGAAGATTTATAAATGTAAACACAACAGGGTCATTCGGGAGACAGACACATCGAGACGGGAAGGCTATGGACCTGTAGACCAGCTGTTCGGTTTTTTATGGAAGTTTTTCAGAATTTTCATAGTATGTTAATGAAATTTTTCATTTTATATAAGTTATATCAATGCATTTTATAATTCGAAGTGAAATAGATTAAGGGGGTATCAGCATTTAGTAATCTGCCCGGCTATGTAGCCAGGTACCGTTAGGATTAGATAGAATATAGATAGGCCCTGGCTCTTTGTAGTTAGTAGCCGGGTTTGTATACTTTTTAGTACTTACTGTACGTAGTGTGGTGTATAGTGTTAGGCTTGGTTATGGTGATATGTTAAGATAGTACCAGGATTGTGTTGGTAGGTGGGTGTGGCATAGAAATTGGAGGAAATGTGTACACAGTTTATTAATTAACATTGTGTTCATGATGAACGATTCATATATTTTTCTTATCCCATTATAATAATTATTATTTTAAAGTAGGTATATTTCTACCTATATTTTTTATCCAAGGAGTGGAAAAGTTTACAACTATTTTTTTTCTACTATTATTGTCGAGAGCAGCTTAGCTCAGTCGGCTAAAGTGGTGGTAGCCACTGTTAACCATGGAGATCTCTAGGTTCCCAGCTCAATTCCCATCACTGCTCTCCTTGTGTTTCTGCTGTAGGGCTGAAATACATGTTAAGATAGCACACTGTCTTTCGGATGAGTTGCTATGCCGTTGGTCCTTTGTGCACGTTAAAGAACGCAGTCCACTCTTCGGAAAAGAGCAGGGTATTGTCTGTCTGTGTACTTTCCAATTCACCCCCAGAAGGACCCCACTGGAAATAAGTCTTCTGACTTAATGGGTTGACTTAGTGGGTTATCATTGATGTGATTCACACCAAAAAAAATACTCCTATCCAGCAAAAAAAGCCCCAAAGGAATTAAGGCCAATAAGTTTTTACAAAATTGAAAATAGATTTATTAAATAAATGAAGTGTAAAACCTGGTACAATATGCATTACAGACTAGCCTTCTTCAATTTCAAGTTAGAATACAACCCAAATAACAAATACAAATTTCTTTACAACATTTATCCTTCCCTATCCAGATTTTGCGCTAACTACCAAAGTTGCAGTTCATCCAGAATATATGCAGTGGTGTATGTGTTTTTAATTACCGATATGGTCTCGTTTCTTAGTCTCGTTCAAGGCCCGATCCAGGCAGCATTACGTCCAGCAGTTTGGTTACCAGGCATTCGTAATCTTCATAGTTACAAAGAAAAGTATGTTATATAGTACTTGGTATGGTATTCCATTTGATTAAATATTCGTGGAAATATAAAATACATAAGAGTCAAATTTGAAAACTTGATTATGTTCATGAAAATTCATCTATGTTGGTAGACTAGTGATTTTTCTTGCATAATGGAAAAAAGTTTTTAAAAAATTATTTTAAGATTTTAAAAAATCAAACCTCCTACCACTTCACTTGTGGACAAAGAAATTGAGTACCATCTAAAAATTCTGAGGTAGGAATTAAATAATTTTTTAGTGTTCTCGGGAAAATTGAAGTGTGTTGTGTTGAAGGGAAATATGGGCAGGGCTGAAGGTGGGTTGAAGGGAAATATGGGCGGGGCTGAAGGTGGGTTGAAGGGAAATATGGGCGGGGCTCAAGGTGGCCCTTGGTGCTGCCCCTGTTGGAATTGATGGAAAATTTCTTGAGCCACCATGAAGACATAAATGATGGATAGTGTTGTAACATGATGATACTCTTAACAACACAAATACTTACAAAAATATTATTATTGTTAGTAAATGTGTATTTTTGTTTATCATCATTATTATTAATATTATTATTTTTTCTTCATGTTGTAACCTATCAAATTTATTCAACCGTGTTAGTTACTGTATTTTACATTTTATTTTTCAGATGGTTGTGCCCAGAAACATTATCAGAGGATTGTGTGGAAGAGCTAATAGAAGCAGTTGAACGAATCAAAATATTGGATCCAGAAACTACTTACAGAATTCATAAAGTGAGAATAAACTTATATGTTCATCATTAATTGTCAGACTATTATTTTGGCATAATCAAACCAATAAGGTACAATGCACCCTCCACATCAAGACCCCTATAATTTCGAGACCACTCTAGTTTAAGACCAATTTTTCAAAGAACCAAAGAATGCCAGAGAGTGGACTGTACAAAATATTTCCTTAATGGCTCTATTTGAACCTATTAAGCCCCTTGTTTCAGACTTCTTGTCTACCAATTGTTGACCTCTGTCTACAATTATTTCTGGATCCTCGTGGCTGTTCATATGGAAATGTTTTTGCCACATTTTATCATTTGCTAGTTCAGCTATCATGAAAGCAGAGAGCTGAGGTCAAATCAACCCTGCTGTATGTGGTAGTTAGGATCCACCTTGGGTTTGTTTCATTCTCATTTTGGAGTTAATATACAAAATCTCAAACTTGCACAGTAAACATATTTTTTGTTAAAACTTTTATTTGACCACATATTTCACAATACGTAGTAAAATGTAAAGTGAACAAATGTTGAGATCTCTCTTCCCCTTACACCCCTACGGAAATTTTCAAATGGTCCAGACTATAAATTGCATTTTTTCGCAGAAATATAGCCTAATTGCTGCAAGTATCTTGTAAGGACATTTGATTTTTAATAAAGGTAATAAAAGCACACCAAAAATCCAACTGATAAAATAACTAAATTTGGCCAAATTACATGAAGAAAGAAGTCAAATACTGCAAAAAACAAGTCCAGACGCAACAGAAGTATGACGTCATACCAGTGAATCGGACTATCACGTTTGAGAGATTTTTTGACCCCATGAGAGCCAATCGTTATAAATCAGCGTTTTCCAACAAAACTGTAGGGATTTTTTTTCATTTCTTCTTCACAAATTGGTAGATTAATTTAATATTTTTTACAATATAATCCGCTTGGGCCATTACAAGAAAATCATAGATTTTGTATCTAAAATGTACTTTTGTGAAAAAAATCCAGTTTTCTCCAATGGTTAAGGTGACCTTGGAGAGTAAATGATACAACGTTTCCATATACTACATCATAGAATAATATTCTTTTAGAGAATACTATAAAAATCTGATTTGGTTCTTAACCAAATAAAAATAAATATAGAAATTGTGAAAACACAATTTCATCTTGTTCTTACATAAATGTTCAAGAGTTTTTCAGAAAAGGAAAATTAGAAATATGTTTTGAAAATTTATATCCTTTAACATTAATGCTATCTCCCAACATTTTATTCAAATATTAGATGAGGTCATAGTAAATATTGCAGCTACTAGCTAATATGCTGGTGGGTATATTACCAGTACATACCATGTCTCCATGAAAACTAGTTTATATGGTACCAGTGAATTGTTCAGTATGAGAAAAACAAATTCAGAAGGAAAAAAAAATTTTGAGATAAAATATTATGATATGTAATATTCTAAAAGTTTTAAGACTTAAAAGTCTTCTTTAATTTTATGCTGTAGGTAAACAATAATCTGTATAGGGTGCAGATTTTTATCTACACATGGGCAGAGTGTCTGGATGTTGTGGAGATTGAGTTCAGACCTGGTAGAGTAAAAGGAACTGAGGCTAAGGTATGTGTTGCAATGGAGAAAATATATTTTTTTCATGGTGTGTTATTTTACTGTCCATCGAACCAAGCAAAAGAAGCTATAACTATAACTGTAGGCTGTTGATGCATGGAGGTATACCTCCATTGTTGATGTGAATAGAGTTCCTATATAGAGAAGATGCGAATTGATTAGAGCGCCCTCTAGTGCCTGGATTACAGTTGGAATAATGGTAGTACAGTCATACAGAGAGACTGATATGCAATGTTATTTATTTGTTATTAGCCCTACCTTTGGTATTATTATTGGTTTTTGTTATATTTCAGTGCTATTCCTTTTCAAGTGGAGTACTTCCAGCATGGGTACCTTTTGGATTTATCTTGAATTGTGTAAGTTGTCTCTCAAGCAAAGACACAACATATTTATGTGTACTTAAACATGAGCATTATAGATTCTATAATGAATATAATAGAATTTGAATAATTAGAGAAAAATAGAGATTTCATTTTTTGATTTACCAGAGCGGTGGTATAATAATATAATAATAAGATTTATTTATATAGTGCATTTTCAGATTTACATCTGTTCAATGTGTTTTAATTAAAACGATGATAAAATACAATTTTAAAATAGGCAAACATTATACAGTGAAATTACAAAAATATTATATAGAAAGACTACAAAAATATACTTATTATTAATTGGCATCATTTAAATAATTGAAAATTCACTTAATAAAATAAATGTTATTAATCACTTTAGGCCTACAAACTATTATTTACAATTATCTCCAAAATTATTACAATTTAACAGATCAATTAATCATTTCAGGGAGATTGGTACAGCAGTTGTGCTCAGACTTTCAACCTCTAGGTCTGGGGTTCGGATCCTCAACTAGTCATTTACTTTACATTTTATCAGACAAATAAATACTGTGTATATTTTTTTTGACAGATGTTTTTCTTTGTTCCATTCTCTGACAACAAATTCAACAGAAAACGAATAGCAGGACTGAGAGAGGCAATGGCAATGTCAGTCCCATGTTTTGCAGTATCTAAATATGGAGGAATAGACAACATGACACTTGAAGAAGATACTATGTAGGAGGGCTAACAATCCCAGACATAAATGAACTTATTTGTGTAGTTTTCAATGCCAGTCTATGAAAGTTTCCAAAATTGTAGTTGCTGAAACTTTCTTTGTTTTTTTTAAATGTTTAATTCAAAACTTTTTTTTTTTAAAGTGCAAATATTGAGTCTTCCAGCATTTTTTGAATAATAACGATGAAACCTTTAATTTATATATCAAGATGTAATGCAGGTGTGGTGAGTGTGTTTAGGTATGTCAGGCCACCTGTGTGACCAGTATCTGCTAGTATGATATTTAATAGCTAACATAATAATTTTAATATATTTTTCTATTTTTTAAATTTATTTTGTAAATATATGATGATCATTATGCTCATATTTCTGTTTTTAAGAAAAATATCTTGAGTGCTATGTTATTTAATATTTAAAGCAAAGCAAGCATAATTTTGTCCAATTTTGCAAACAAAATGTTTGAGGTTGCCGGTATGAGCTCCCCTGCCTTATTATTCACATGATTCTGCTGCCTCTGTAATTTACGAACTGTAGGCCTATTTATATTTATTTATATGGCTATCAGTTAATATTCTCCTATATGTAACTGTGTACATAATGTACAAGGTATAAATACTTGGTATTCTACCATAACACTGTAGTTGTGTCTTTATTTATACAAACTTAAGTCATCTGGTTAATACCACTTTGTTTTTATTGGGTTTTATTCTAAACCATTTAGTTAGTTTGATTAACATGTTGGTTAGCTTTGTAATTTGGGTACTCTATAGTTTATAATTTTCTAAATCAAAATTCAAATATTTTAAATATTTATTAAATAACTATCAATGTTTTCTTATAATAGTACTACTAAGATATTTTTTAATTTGTATCATGTCGCATAGAATTATAGTACCATCTTGTCATATATTAACACAATTTTATTGGATTTTGCCTTTTTTCTTTTTATTATTCATTAAAATTGTAGTGCAATAAATAGGCCTATTATTAGGCTGTATAGAGTACATAAAGCAAGGAAAGCGATGTATTCTTGACGCACTAGAATATAAACTAAGTTTGCATGCTGAGTATATAAAGACAATTTATATTATTCCTGTACTAAAAGTGTGTCCGCTTTTTCAATAAATGTGTACAGTACTATAGTTAACAGAGTAGGAGGTGCTATAATTGTACATTAGAATATTTAGCACCTCGCTCTATTACGACCCTGGGGCGGAATGCAGATTAAGGTATGAGAGTGCAATTTCTGGGCACCCAGAGGTCATATTCTCAAATTTCTTGTACATCAGCCCCCAACCATGTCGACTCTCATGCACCCATGGGCGCAGATTATTGGAGAAGGGGACACTCTTTTTCAATAAATGTGTACAGTACTATAGTTAACAGAGTAGAAGGTGCTATAATTATACATTAGAATATTTAGCACCTCGCTCTATTACAACCCTGGGGCGGATGCAGATTAAGGTATGAGAGTGCAATTTCTGGGCACCCAGAGGTCATATTCTCAAATTTCTCGTACCTCAGCCCCCAACCATGTCGACTCTCATGCACCCATGGGCGCAGATTATTGGAGAAGGGGACACTCCTCCCCCACATATTTTTAAGGAAAGGGGGGTTGGTCCCTCTCACTTTTCATCCGCAATGCAATTTCATAAGTCAAGAAGATGCCTGAAACTCGTTGAAATAAACTGCATATATGACGCAGGTTTTAATGGGGAAGAGCACTGTACAGCCAGAGTACATTTTATAGCAACATACCGGTGGTATCTCTGCCCACAAACATCTTAATTACATATAATACATGACTCGAGTGAAGTGTGCCTTTATTATAATTTGAAAAGTATGAGAAAAACCGCGTAAAGATATGAGATTGGTTTTCGGTAAAGTAAATACATCAAAGACAATTAAGTTTTATTTTCTATGGTAGATGAAGCTATATAATAGTGTCAAATAAATTACATATATACAATTACATACAAAGTGTTTCTTTATTTTTATTTTCTATGGTGCATCACTCATATTAATTAGATCTACAGTATGTGGTTGCCTAAAGTCCCTGATAAAGATCATGAGAAATTTGCTGGCACTTCACTTAGACCGTGGACCTATAGGTCCATGCTTAGACTATATAAAATGGTGATGTGATAATGATGAATTTTACTATATAAAAGTGTCATTTCCGAACATCTAAAAGTACTATTTCCTACCTCAGCCGCAACCATGATGGCGCTATGGTGGTTGTGGACTCATGTTATTAATAGGTAGAGTAAATACATCAGACAATTTTTTAAAGTTTTATTTTCAATGTACATCACACATAGTAATTAGGTCTCTGTGGTTGCCGAAAATCGCAGTTTTAAGGATCATCAGAATTTGTTTTTTTTTTTGTTTTTTTTTTTTTTTAAATAAATATAGGCCTATAATTGTGATGTGATGATGATTATTTTTATTTTTTAATAGTAATTGTAGTGCAATAAATAGGCCTATTATTAGGCTGTATAGAGTACATAAAGCAAGGAAAGCGATGTATTCTTGACGCACTAGAATATAAACTAAGTTTGCATGCTGAGTATATAAAGACAATTTATATTATTCCTGTACTAAAAGTGTGTCCGCTTTTTCAATAAATGTGTACAGTACTATAGTTAAAAGAGTAGGATGTGCTATAATTGTACATTAGAATATTTAGCACCTCGCTCTATTACAACCCTGGGGCGGATGCAGATTAAGGTATGAGAGTGCAATTTCTGGGCACCCAGAGGTCATATTCTCAAATTTCTCGTACCTCAGCCCCCAACCATGTCGACTCTCATGCACCCATGGGCGCAGATTATTGGAGAAGGGGACACTCCTCCCCCACATATTTTTAAGGAAAGGGGGGTTGGTCCCTCTCACTTTTCATCCGCAATGCAATTTCATAAGTCAAGAAGATGCCTGAAAATCGTTGAAATAAACTGCATATATGACGCAGGTTTTAATGGGAGAGCACTGTACAGCCAGAGTACATTTTATAGCAACATACCGGTGGTACCTCTGCCCGCAAACATCTTAATTACATATAATACATGACTCGAGTGAGTGTGCCTTTATTATAATTTGAAAAGTATGAGAAAAACCGCGTAAAGATATGAGATTGGTTTTCGGTAAAGTAAATACATGAAAGACAATTAAGTTTTATTTTCTATGGTAGATAAAGCTATATAATAGTGTCAAATAAATTACATATATACAATTACATACAAAGTGTTTCTTTATTTTTATTTTCTATGGTGCATCACTCATATTAATTAGATCTACAGTATGTGGTTGCCGAAAGTCCCTGATAAAAGATCATGAGAAATTTGCTGGCACTTCACTTAGACCTTGGACCTATAGGTCCATGCTTAGACTATATAAAATGGTGATGTGATAATGATAAATTTTACTATATAAAAGTGTCATTTCCGAACATCTAAAGGTACTATTTCCTACCTCAGCCGCAACCATGGTGGTGCTATGGTGGTTGTGGACTCATGTTATTAATAGGTAGAGTAAATACATCAGACAATGTTTTAAAGTTTTATTTTCAATGTACATCACACATAGTAATTAGGTCTCTGTGGTTGCCGAAAATCGCAGTTTTAAGGATCATCAGAATTTGTTGGCGCTTTTTTTTTTTTTTTTTTTTTTATAAATATAGGCCTATAATTTTGATGTGATGATGATTAATTTTACTATGTAAAAGTGTCATTTCCGGACATCTACATGTAGGCCTCTATTTCCATGAAATGTCTCTCACCCGCCACCTTTCAAAACAGATCTGTGCCCTTGCACGCACCCCCTACCGCCAAATCCTGCATCCGCCCCAGCAACCAAGATAGCCAAAGCCATCCAGCCCACTTTTGATTAGATGGTAGGCCTACTGTACTACAGTATTAATTATTAGTAGGCCCTATTAGTAGAATGTGCAATAGTGTCCCAGTGTTTTGAGAAAACAGGGGCGGATTTATTGGAAAGCAAAAAAAAAAAAGGGGGGGGGGTGGTGGTGTAACAACGAAAAAGGAATTATTGATCGCCCAAAAGACCTCAGAGGTTATTTCCCGGTGTCCAGAAAACAAAAATTTCCCAGATCCCATGGTAGTGTCTCTCTTTCGGCCATCTCTGGACCCGCTCCTGGGAAACACGCAAATTACAAGGTCTAGTCTAGTCGTCCCGATTTCACAATTTCTAGAATAGTAGATGGCCCCTCCTAAATTTTTCAAAGTAAAAAAAAAATTGGGATTAAAATTTAAGTCTAGAGTGCCATTTCCAGCCATGTGGAGGTGACATAATCATAACATATCTTGCCTCAGCAAGACATAGGCCTAGTAAATGAAGATTGTTATATTCCAAGTGTTTAGAATGGATAGGCCTACAATTATTGTATGCTGTTGTTGATGCTTAACCATTTCTCGGTAGTGACACGTTAATTTGTTTTGTATTTAAAAAAAAAATTAATAATGGAAGTTAAAGGTTGATTGATTAAGTCCTGCAATCTACCCAAATCTCCATTATAGCCTCTCACTCGTACAATAAACAGAGCAATGTATACACAAAACATAACAGGGATCTAAGGTGGAAGAATCATCATCCGGAGAAATGAGTATTTTAACACATCTACATAATATGTTTCTGTACATGTTGATAGCCATTGGCACTGACTTCCGGGAGACAATTGATAAGGCCAAATAACATTTTTTTGTTTGCCCTCCTCCACCGGCCCCTAACACACTGAAAAAATAGGGGCGGAAAAACAAAAAAACATTTAAAAAGTTTTTTTTTAGCTTTTTCTTTACAAATTAAAGAAAATGTGAGTGTATTTATCTTTATTTTTTGTCAGATGCCCTACAAATTAGTCTGAAGTTGTTGTCTGATATAAGATATTGCCATTCTAGGCCTCTGTGGGTTACTTTTATTCCATCTGATGAGTATTTAAAAAAAATAATAAATTAAAAAACTTTTCCCACCCGCCTCTATTTATCATTTAAAAAAAAAGAGGGGCAAACAAACAATTTATTTTTTTGGTCTAATACAGCAGTAAACATAGGCGTGTGTCTATGCCCTATCATTGCCTTACTGTATTATGTTTACTGATAAAGTATCATCATGAGATTCGGTTATCAGGAAATGTGTGGTGTATTTTTTTTAATATAATTTTTTAAAAATAAATTTGAACTTTGAACTTTGAATTTGCGGGGTGGGGGGTGGTTTATTATCCAGATTCTTCGCGGAAGTGCAGGAGGCATTCACTGATTTCCATGAGACTCCATTCCGGGACTCTGCAGGAGACTTGAATTATGAATCACTAAATGTGCTCTTCAGATTTCTCTATTGGAGGGAAATTAAGAAATAATATACATTACATATTTTAAACTGGATTAACAGTTACTGAGTGCGCTTACTTATTCTCAGGCTGTGTAAACTGTTTATGGTAGCCAGATCAAGTCCTGTACTCGTTTTACCCAACTCCTATAAAATACAATAATTATAGGCTGACTATTACCGTTATTCAATACCGTATACACAAAAGACTGTACAGCTGTATACACAAAACATCTTATGATGTGCTTTGGCTAATGTATGTACGTGCAAACCATATACAACAAAATTGCATTAGCATCACTATTTTATAGTGGTCTTTAATCGGAGAAAAGATATTTTTTTATTTGGATCTGCCAAAACCATGGTCTTTTTTGGTCTCTAAATAGGGGGAGTCTTTAACTGGAGGGACCAGATAATGGTAAAAGATAAAACATGAAAACGTGCAAATATAAATTTGCGGGAGATGGGTTATTTTCCAATGCGTGTGGAAGTGTGTGTGGGGGGGGGGGAGGCCATCCCGATTCCCGGGAGTCATGGGAACCCTGACATTAACGTATGTTACATAGTCATGTCATCATCATTTATTTTTATTTTTTTTGTATTATTTTTTTTCTTTTGGATCTGCTGAATCCATGATGTTTGACTGTGTTAATTATTACTGCATGCTAATTTTGATTCTTAATAAACCATTTCCTGGTAGTCACACATAAGTCGCCCTAAATACCCAATACAAAAATACAAACATTAACA